AGCCCCCACTGTCGGCACACCCGCTGCCCTGCCTGCTCCAGCCAGTCACGGGAACGGCTCCCTGCTTTCAGCACCATGGCCAGTGTCTTCCCCCCGTTTTGCTCCAAGCACCAGTCTTGACAGCGCAGGCAGCGCTGCACCGAGAGCCGCCCGTCTGCGCAACAGGCACCGCCGGGCAACGGCGAGCGGCCAGAGAATCCAGCGGAGAGCGATGCTGCTCCGCGCCCCAAAGCCGGCAGCGAGGGCTGGACATGGCCTGGCTTTTCCCCCGGGGACCCTCCCGCCGAACTGTGCTGCGCCACGCCACGGTACGGAGCGGCGCTGCGCTGCGCTAGAGGCCGGAAGGGCATCGCGGGCCCCACGCAGTGCGTAGCCTTTGGAAGAGTTTGAAGGAAAGAGCTGGGAAGTGAAACAATAAACCAAAGGGGACCCGGCCGTACTGAGGACCAGCACAAGCCACATGCTGGCCAGGTCCTTGCAGCCTGGCCCTGCACCTGAGGCAGGTGCTCGATGAAGACCGCAGTCAATGCGAGGGACATTTCTGGCTGCTGTTAAATGAAACAGAAGATGCTAGTAGAGGCTCTCACCATGCCCATCTCCTGGCACGTACACACCCGCAACCCCGTCGCTTCCTCTCACCACATGCATGTACCCCACACTCCCCTTCCTCTCACACCTGGACTCACCCCACAGCCCCCAGGCGTCACCTCTCATCACTCCAGTGCACCTCACAACAGCCCTGCACCGCCTATCATCACCCACGCCTCACACATAAATACACCCCCACACCCCTCATATATACACACCCTCACCGCCCCCACTCCCTCTCCCGCTCACATCCCCATTCTCCCTCTCCTAACACCCTCACCACCCCCACTCTCCGTCCCCATACACCCACAGACCCCACTCTCCCTTTCCTCACGCCCCCACAGCTCCACTCTCCCTCCCCCCTCACACCCCACTCTCCCTTCCCCATACACCCTCAGACTCCACTCTCCCTTTCCTCACACCCCCACAGCTCCACTCTCCCTCCCCCCTCACACCCCACTCTCCCTTCCCCATACACCCTCAGACTCCACTCTCCCTCTCCTCACACCCCCCCAGCTCCACTCTCCCTCCTCACCTCCTCCCACTCTCCCGCCCCTCACCCCCATCCTACCACTCTCAGCGTCTCTCTCCTCCCTCTCTCACGCTCACCGCCCCCATTCTCCCTCCTCACCCACACGCGACCTTCCCTCTGGGGCTGACTGTGTGAGACAGGAGACGGCCCAACTCTTCATGAACTGCGAGCACTCACTAGCAGACCCAATTGGGGGGGAGGGCGGGCAGAGGCTGGTGCCTGGAGCAGGAGGTGGGGGAGAAAAGAGCGAGAAGAATTCAGGACAACCCGTTTTAAACGCTGAGCTACGGCCCTGCAAGGCCCAGGAGCGACAAGTGGGCAAGGGCCTTGTATGCCCCTTTCTCAACAGAGAACTCCCTTCCCGTGGACATCAGTGGCAAAGCTCCTCTTGATTTCAACTGGAGCCGAAGCCGGGGGCTCCCATAGCTACGCTGGGGGATTCTTGGGCGAGCTGGGCCATGGGAAGCCGCCCCCAGTTCTCAGAGCGGTGGCCAGCTCTAGAAACAGCCGCGGTAGAGTTAGCTCAGGCTCATGCAAGCCGCGGGGAGGAGAGAGGGGCTTAGCCAGCGAGGGCAGGGTTAGATCATGGCTCGCTTGGGAAGAGGGGGCCTCCTGGGCTTCACCCTACAAATCAGCAGGGCCGGCTTTAGGCCAATTCCACCAATTCCCCCGAATCGGGCCCCGCGCTTAAGAGGGCCCCGCGCCCAGTGGCAGGGCTGCCCAGAGTGGGGGGCAAGTGGCACAGAATCCCTTCCCTGGCTAGAGGCACCTTTTTAATTTTTTACTCACCCGGCGGCACTCCAGGTCTTTGGCAGCGGGTCCTTCACTCGCACCGGGTCTTTGGCGGCGGGTCCTTCAGTACCGCCGAAGACCCGGAGCGAGTGAAGGACCCACGCGGCCTGGTGAGTACAAGCCCCACGTGTTTTTTACGT